AAACAGTAAGCTGATAGGTAGCTATTTGCTTTGTTTTTCCATGATTCTGGTTGACCTCTGTTTTCTCAACTGATTGCTTTTTGAAATAATAATGTATATTGACATTAATAAAACTTTTAGCAAAATATTTGAGTAGGGTTTGAGAGTAATTAGATGTACCATGAGAGAAATTAAGGGTCTCAAAGATTCTGCAACAGGACAAATCACAAGAAGTATACTGTCCGTATTAGGAACGAGTTCCATCGCTAAGTCTGTCTCGAAGTCAACTTTGTATGTAAATCGGGTCAGGTATGGTTCTTATCTAACGTCAGTTAGTCAAATGTTTGTCTTAGTATACAGTATACAACGTAACTTACTATGCATTAAAAAATATTAAAGAAAAACTTCCAGATACACTAAAATTTCTCTAACATAATAATACAGTAATAACAATAATGTTTTGACACACATCACAAAGTAGTTCCCATTTGTTATTACAAACCATTGTATGTACTTTGAATTTTTAATATAATAGGCTTTATGGGGTTTGGTTCATAACTATGGGTTGTACATAGTCAGACATTTGTAATCTGGGGACTGTGGACCCAGGAAACAAAACAAAACACAACAAAGCATGGGTAAAATTCTTTTCATTACATAAGTCGATATTACTCTTAAAGCAAAGAGGGTGTATACGTCAACATGTGTTTTACAGGAAAAATAGACAAACTGTACTCAATAAAATACAGGAAAACATGGATTTGGTAATGCAAGAGATTTTAAGATGAATAGAAAAGACATCACTTTAAATAGAAGGAATATAAAACATTGAAAAAGAGGTGTCTGAAATAAGGATATGTCAGAAAAATTAAAATTCAATAAAAATTAAATATGCACCGTAAATAATAAAGATCATAAACAAACTGGCAATGACTGAATCTACAGTGTAGCACAAAACTTTTCCCAGATTAAGAGGAAAAGAAATAAATACATTGAGGGTAGGAGACATTTATAGACAAGAAAACAGTGATCAAACACACAAGGAACCACCAACATATATGTACTAAACTACATAGCCCACACCAAGGGACTAGAATAATAGAAAAAGGAACAATTAAAAAAAAAAAAATCTCAATAGAGAAAATTAAGTTCCCGAGAAGAAGAAAAACAATAGAGTTTTTTTTAAATTTTTTTACTCTTTTTGTGAAGTCTTTTTTTTTTAATTTTTTTAAAATTGTACTTTAGATGAAGGTTTATGGAACAAATAGTTTCTCATTAAACAGTTAGTACACATACTGTTTTATGACAATGGTTAACAACCCCACAACATGCCAACACTGTCCCTTCTCAACCTTGGGCTCCCTATTACCAACTTTCCTGTCCCCTCCTTCCTTCTAGTCCTTGTCCCTGAACTGTTGCGCCCCATTAGTCTCATTTTGTTTTATGGGGCTGTCTAATCTTTGGCTGAATGATGAACCTCAGGAGTGACTTCAATACTGAGCTAAAGGGGTATCCAGGGGTCATACTCTCAGGGTTTCTCCAGTCTCTGTCAGGCAGTTAAGTATGGTCTTTTTTTGTGAGTTAGAATTTTGTTCTACATTTTTCTCCAGCTCTGTCCAGGACCCTCTGTTGTGATCCCTGTCAGAGCAGTCAGTGGTGGTA